ACTCAACACCAACCCATCCCTACTGACCACATCCCCACATTTCTGCAACACCTCCGGGGACGGTGACCCCACCACCCCCTGCGCAGCCCATGCCAGCACCCAATTGCTGTTTTGGGGGCGAAATCGTCCCTAATTTCTCTCCTTGGCCCACACCTTGGGCTCCCGGTGCTGCAGCCAGCTGTTGAAGAGCACCTCGTAGGCGCTGAAGATCTCGTTGCAGAAGGTGTCCTTCCTGACCGTGGGGTCGGGGGCCTGGTCCAGGTTGGCCACGTACTCCTGGATGCTCTCACTGAAGTGCTGCAGGGCTGCAAAGCAGAGCGTGGGCTCAGGTCAGTCCTCGGGTCCATCCAGGGGCAATGGGTGTTGGGTGGGTTGGGTGCTTAAAGATCACAGAACTGGGGAATGGTTGGGTTGGGAAGGTCCTGAAAGGTTACAGAGCTGTGGAATGGTTGGGTTGGAGGGGTCCTTAAAAATCACAGAACCACAGAAGGGATGGATTGGAAGGATCCTTAAAGATCACTGAGCCATGAGATGGTTGGGTTGGAAGGGTCCTGAAAGATCACAGAACCATGGGATGGTTGGGTTGGAAGGATCCTTAAAGATCACAGAACCATGGGATGGGTGGGTTGGAAGGGTCCTGAAAGATCACAGAACCATGGGATGGTTGGGTTGGAAGGGTCCTGAAAGATCACAGAACCATGGGATGTGGGTGGGTTGGAAAGTTTCCGAAAGGTCATGGAAGCATTGAATGGGCTGGGAGGGTCCTTGAAGGTCATACAGCCATGGGATAACAGAACAGGTTGGATTGGAAAGGTCCTTAAAGATCAAAGAACTGCAAGAGTGCGTTGGGGTGGATATTTTGCTCCCTTATTGCCAAGTGCACAGCTGGGCTTCTCCAGCTGCGGCATCCTCTGCCCCACAACAGCTCCCTGGGTGCTGCCCCACCGGGTTCCGATGCCCCACAGCACTCAGGCTCCTCCTCTTTGCTGGCTGCCTCCCAGCCACCAGAGCGGGGCCTACAGCAGAGGATGGGGTGCTGGTACAGGGGTGGAGGTACAGGGGGAACGGCTTGAACCCAAAAGTGGGGAGATTTGGGGTCAGACGTGGGGAAATCCTTCAGCCAGAGGCGGTGCAGCCCCAGCACTGCTGCCCGGAGCTGTGGGTGCCCCAGCCCCAGAGGTGCCCCAGGCTGGGGGTGGGCACTGGGCAGCCTGAGCTGGGGGCAGCCAGCCCACGGCAGCGGTGGGGCTGGGGGTCCCTTCCATCCCAACCACGCTGCGGTTGTGTGATCTGTAAGGACCCTTCCAACCCAACCGTTCTGTGGTTGTGTGATCTGTAAGGACCCTTCCAACCCAACCGTTCTGTGGTTGTGTGATCTGTAAGGACCCTTCCAACCCAACCCTTCCAACCCAACCATTCTGTGGTTGTGCGATCTGTAAGGACCCTTCCATCCCAACCATTCTGTGGTTGTGTGATCTGTAAGGACCCTTCCAACCCAACCCTTCCAACCCAACCATGCTGTGGTTGTGTGATCTGTAAGGACCCTTCCAACCCAACCCTTCCAACCCAACCATTCTGTGGTTGTGTGATCTGTAAGGACCCTTCCAACCCAACCATTCTGTGGTTGTGTGATCTGTAAGGACCCTTCCAACCCAACCCATTCTAACACTGCACGATTCCATGATCTTCAAGGGCCCCCCCCATCCCAACCATTCCATGGTTCTGTGACCTTTAAGGACCTTTCCAACCCAACCATCTCACAGCTCCATCGTTTTCAAAGACTCTTCCCGTGCAAACTCATTTTATGGCTCTGTAATCTTCGAGGACCCTTCCAACTCAATCACGCCACAGCTCCGTGATCTTTAAGGTCTCTTCCAAAGCAAGCGTTCTGTTCTTTATGATCTTTAAGGACCCTTCCAACCCACCCACCCCATGGCTCTACGATGCACAGGGGCACCCACAGTTCTACCAGGTGCTCGGAGCCCCATCCCATGACCTGGAACATCTGCAGGGACGGAGCACCAGCACACCGCAGTCAGTCTGCGTCAGCGCCTCGCTGCCCAGAAACCTTTCTACCTTTTATGCAATCTCAATCTCCCCTCTTTTAGAGCAAAACTCTTTGTCCTTGTCTGTGATCTGATGGTTCCACCCCTCCTGGAGCCATCCCTGCCCCTGGGCACCCAAGAGCACCGCTCCCTACCACTTCCCTATCCAAGAAGTGCCCCAAATCCCCCCAAACTCCCCACCGTATTGAGAGAAGCAGAGCAGCCTTACCGTAGCAGAAGACAGACTTCATGTGGTCCTGCTTGGCCATCCCCAGCATGGGCAGCATGGTCCCCAGGATGGAGTTGAGGAAAGGCACCATCCCGAACACTGCGGGAGGAAACGCGGAGCTGTGGGTGCCCCACACCTGGAGGTGCCCGAGGCCATGGATGGGGGCCCTGGGCAGCCTGAGATGGTGGGGGGCAGCCAGCCCATGGCAGAGCTAGGGGGTCCCTTTCAACCCATCTTGTGGTTGTATCATCTTTAAGGACCCTTCCAACCCACCCGTGCCATGATCCTATGATCTTTAAGGACCCCAGTATACGGTGAGCACCCAACGTTCACCCAGTGCCAAGCTAACACCGATCCAAAAGCAACCCAACACCAACCCAGCACCAACCCAACACTAATCCAACACTGATCCAACACCAACCCAGTGCCAACACCAAACCAATGCCAACCCTGTGCCAGCCTAACACCAAATCGATGCCAATCCAACGCCAACCCAACGTCAACTCAATGCTGACCCAAGGCCAACAGCACCGACGAAACAACATCAACCAACCCAACATCAACTCAGTGTTCAACCGAGTGCCGAAGCAACGCAGACCCAACGCCAATCCCAACGCCAACTCAGTGCCAACTCAGCACCAACCAAACACCGACCCGACGCTGATCCAGCACCAAACTAATGCCAATCCAAAACCAATCCAGTGCCAACCCAACGCCAATTCAGCATCAACCAAACTCCAACACAATGTCAACCCAAAGCCAACTAAATGCCGAGCCAGTGCCAACCCAGCACCGAACCAATGCCAAGCCAATGCCAATCAAGCACCAACCCAGCGCCGACCTTGTGCTGACCCAACATAACCCAATGCTGATCCAATATCAACCCAACACCAACCCTACGCCAACCCAACACCAACCCAGTGCCAACCTGATGCTGACCCGATGCCAACTCAGTGCCAACTCAACACCAACCCAGCACCAAACACCAACCCAGCACTGACTCAATGCCAAACCAATGCCAATCCAATACCAATCTAGTACCAACTCAACGTCAACTCAATGCTGAGCCAACACCAATCCAGTGTCAACCAAACTCCAACCTAAAATCAACTCAACGCCAACTGAACATCAAGCCAATGCTGATCCAGTGCCAACCCAGCACCAAACCAGTGCCAACCCAGCACTGATCCAATGCCTGTCCAACTCCAACCCAACAGTGACCCAACACTGACACAATGCCAACCCAGGATCAAACCAATGCCATCCCAACGCCAATCCAACACCAATCCAATGCCAACCTAATGCTGACCTAATATACCTCAACACCAACCCGATGCCAAACCAACACCAACCTAGTGCCAAATCAATGCCAACCCAGTGCAAACCTAATGCTGACCTAATATACCTCAACACCAACCCAGTGCCAAATCAAAGCCAACCCAATGCCAATTCAATAGCAACCCAACACCAAACCAATGCCAAATCAGCACCAACCCAATGCCAACCCAGTGCCAATGCAACACCAACCTGGTACCAACCTAATGCTGACCTAATATACCTCAACACCAACCTGATGCCAAACCAACACCAACTCAGTGCCAAATAAAGGCCAACCCAATGCCAATTCAATATCAAACCAACACCAACCCAATGTCAACCCAACGCCAACCCAACGCCAAACCAATGTCAAACCAACACCAAGCCAGTGCCAAATCAATGCCAACCCAACACCAACCCAATGTCAACCCAACGCCAACCCAATGCCAAACCAATGTCAAACCAACACCAACCCAGTGCCAAATCAATGCCAACCCAACACCAACCCAATGTCAAACCAACACCAACCCAGTGCCAAA